ATGAATTATTTTAACGGTGCACGCTACCCGATTTAGGCTCAGTGTTTTATTTTTTTTTTCCTTTGTATTTGCATAAAGTCCCGAGGGTAATTCAAACTCGCGTTGAAACCCTTAGAATTTAGGGGGTTGAAATTGATTTCATTCACTGTTCGAGTGAATGGGGGAGAATTATTCGAACGAACCCGTACGTTCATTCATCGTTACACATGCCACGAGGAAATAAGAGCTGGCGCGCATCGATGAATGGGTTACTCCCGTATGAATGAACGGGCATGTCTCTCCCCTCCACCTCAATGACGAAATTCACTTGCGCACTTGTCTCGTTGCAGATAGAAACCGGCAGTTCGAAACGAGTGCATCCCCGATACACCTTCGTGCATACCAGGGTTTCCTGGGAGTGGTCAATCGTTTCCAGAAACGAATTAGGATTCACCTACGCAAACGGAGTCCTGGAAGGAAAGAAGAGGACTTTCTGGACCAGAAAATCCCGGGGGACCTTTTTCCGGGAAATCCGACATTCCTTGGGCATTAATAATACGCGCCATTGCAGGGATTGCATTCCGGGGAATCGTTGCTCTTGTCGCTCCTTTGTCTCATTATCAGTCTTATCGGATCAATTGCGAGGTAAAGAGCCTCGTGCTTCTTCAAATCAATCATTTATTTGCTCTCCTTGAGTCCACGGGATTCCTGGAGGCTTGAATGCCCCTCGATTCCCGTTTTCTTGGGGCCCGGACAATTGTTTCCGAGACAATTCTTTAAGTAATCGGTGCGTCATATCGAGTAGTAAAGTAATTGCACCGCGGCACTTATCGCCGCTCGTGTGATAGGTCAGTTGTCGGGGAGGTTGCACAATCCGAGGAAACAGCACTGTTGACAAATAGTGTCATAAAGCTTAAAATAGACGGCCATTATTATTTCCATCCGCAGACGTAGGTACTTCCCAATTAATTCGCAATTATCGCAACGCGTACGACACATCCGGCCGATCTTGTCGGTCCTCGGCAAAGCGTGCGTCTAAAATTAACATATCCGAAGCGCTGGAGATAAATTGTCAATCGTTCCCTAGCTTTGAAATGAGCCGTTTATTTTAAAAGTGGCCTACGTCCATTTGTCAATTATTTTCGGTTGCCCGTAGTTACACGTATAACTTGAAGTTATATATCAATAGAGCATTTAAGGTTAATTATATTCCGAGTAAATACGATAATTTTGGACACGTAAGATTTCAAAGTTAGTTCAATAATTAAAACCATCATTTTGAAAGTGGCCTAAGTCCAATCTATATGAGCCATTTATTTTAAAAGTGGCCTAAGTCCATTTATCAATTATTTTCGGTTGCCCGTAGTTACATGACTTGAAGTTATCTATCAATAAAGCATTTGAGGTTAATTATATTCCGAGTAAATGCGATAATTTTGGACACATAAGTTTTCAGAGTTAGTTCAATAATTAAAACCATCATTTTGAAAGTGGCCTAAGTCTAATCTCTATGAGCCGTTTATTTTAAAAGTGGCCTAAGTCCATTTGTCAATTATTTTTGATTGCCCGTAGTTACATGTACAACTTGAAGTTATCTATCGATAAAGCATTTGAGGTTAATTATATTTCGAGTAAATACGATAATTTTATACACATAAGTTTTTAGAGGTAGTTCAATAATTAAAACCATCATTTTGAAAGTGGCCTAAGTCCAATCTATACCCACTGAACACCAAACATAACAGTTACGTAGCTTAAAACTAACAAATAACATAACGTTTGTTACAATGTAATAACCTAACAGTTACGTAGCATAGAGCTAGCTAGTTACATAACATTTGTTACAATGCAGTAACTTAACAGTTATGTAACATGGAACTAACAGGTTACATAACATTTGTTACTATCATATCTATGTAAATGTAGCATAACTTTGTTACTCTCATCTTACATTATGTTACTGTCCCGATATTACTGTGTATATGCAACACATATTTGTAACAAAACGGAACTACATTGGTGCTGTCATTTATTTTATTACATCATCGTCATCGTCATTGTCATAATTCATCGTCAAATGTCATAAGATTAATATGTCATGTTTTGTTTACTACTCGTATGAAAAAATGTGACTTTAATTAATACGCGCATATACATTATCAGTCATTGTTTGCTAGTCGAATGAAATCCTAATTGTCTTTAAGTAAAATCAGATAGTTTATCATTACATAATTTCATTGAAACTCTGATATGTCATTTAATATCTAACTATTGTCAAGTACCAAAAAATAATTAAAAGTATAAAATTATATAATTTTTGATAAAATTGCGTGATCTTTTTTATTAAATGTATGAAAAATTAATATTATTTTAAGGTAATTGAACTTATAACATTAATGTAACATGTTCCATAGCATGTTACCTTACTAAGTGGGAAATAATACCTAACATCTAACTTCCATGTTACTTTTATGCTACATAATGTGTTACTTTCGAAAACGTAACATTTACCCAACAGTTATATAACAGTGTTCACTGGGCTTGGGCTCTTTCACATTTTATAACAACTCTGGTTGTTAATTTTGAAGGTGGCTTAACTCCATTCTTCGTAAGAAAACGCGTATTATTCACTTAATAATTGCCATTATTTTAATAGGAACTGTAAATTAAACTCCTTTAGATACACTTAAGCAGGATGACTCATTGGTATCCTGTACGTATATTTTTAATTGCATTGAAACGCAAACCCTTAAATATCTCAATTTAAGTATAAATGGACTTAGGCCACTTTCGAAATAAACGGCTCATTAAATAATCTCTTTTTCCTGAAAATAGAACCGTAACCGCGACATCTACTCGAGTCCTCGAGATTTCGCAACGCGACGGTCGAGATTCGGATGTTTCCTTGTAAGAAATTCAAAAAGAGGCGACTCCATTGACGTCTTCGGGAATGGCATTATAGAGTAGCATTTAATTTGGTTAAGGATTTCCTTGGAAACAGCGTTGACGTTTCGACTTAGGACTGCAGACAGAGTGTCCCTTCTGGTTCTAGGAAAATATCGCAATTCCGCGGTGCGGTCTCGATGAAATCACTTTTACTCTTGGAATATCCCGCAATTTGTGAATTAACCCTTTCCCCGTCACTGAAACAGGAAGATTACATCCGCGTGCGCGTAATTTCTTTTATACACGTTCTTTCTTTTGCATCTCCTTTTAGATCAAGAATCCCAGATGCAGTTTTATGTGCCAGTCGCGGTCTCCTCGACCTAGGTCTTATAAAAATTCCGAATGATGTTGTACGTTTTAATTTATGGATTTAATTGCACCTCTTCTCAGAGAATTTGCCAATCGCGTTCGTCTCGACCTAGGTCTTATATAAATTCCGAATGATGTTGTACGGTTTAATTGATGGATTTAATTGCATCTCTTTTCAGGGAGTTGGACGCGCCTGTTAGTAGACAACCGGCTTACAATGACGAATCGAATGGTGCAGCTATCTTCCGGTAGAGGGCACACATTTTTTCTTTTGCATGTCCATTTAGATTAAAAATCCCAGATGCAGTTTTATGTGCCAGTCGCGGTCTTCTCGACCTAGGTCTTATAAAAATTCCGAATGATGTTGTACGTTTTAATTTATGGATTTAATTGCACCTCTTCTCAGAGAATTGGACGCGCCTGTTAGTAGACAACCGGCTTACAATGACGAATCGAATGGTGCAGCTATCTTCCGGTAGAAGGCGCACATTCTATCTTTTGCATCTCTTTTTAGATCAAGAATCTTAGATGCAGTTTTATATGCCAATCGCGGTCTTCTGGACCTAGGTTTTATAAAAATTCCGAATGATGTAAGTTTTAATTTACGGATTTAATTACACCACTTCTCAGGGAGTTGGACGCGCCTGTTAGTAGACAACCGGCTTACAATGATGAATCTAATGGTGCAGCGATCTTCCGGTAGATGGCACACATTCTTTCTTTTGCATCTCTTTTTAGATCAAGAATCTTAGATGCAGTTTTATATGCCAATCGCGTTCGTCTCGACCTAGGTTTTATAAAAATTCCGAATGATGTTGTACGTTTTAATTTATGGATTTAATTGCATCTCTTCTAAGAGAATTGGACGCGCCTGTTAGTAGACAACCGGCTTACAATGACGAATCGAATGGTGCAGCCATCATCCAGTAGAAGGCAGAAGCTCGAGGATAAAACGACGTCGGTAAGAGTAGAGCCTCTTTTCAAGTACGTTTGTCTTGTTAAGTTTAAGGTGAAGTGAAATCCCCCCCAAATCAACTTGAATAAGACACTTTTTTTAAGGGTATTGGACCAAACTGTCCGAAACTTTAACACATGACTCGTGAACACCCAAAAATTGTCCTGACCCATTCAAAATTTGGATTTTTCCAAAACATTCTTCAAGTTAGTCTAGACCAGAACTAAAATGGCGTTGAGCTCTGATATTTCGGTCAATGTACAATTATTGAAGGCTCTAATATGAGAAACGAAAGTGCGAGGACAATTGTACGACAATTTAGAACCTTCTGGTAATCGATAAACTCGCATTTTAACGGGATAAATGCAAAAAAAGTGTCTTATGCACTTCTATGCTAAAACGATGGTAATATGAGGTCTCGGAGTGAAAATTTAGTTGACATGGAAATCACAGATGGCGCAGGGGGGTCCCTCTGCAGACAATTAGGGCCCCAGAAAGCACGAATCCAGAGGATTTATGGAGTTTTACTTCGATTTCTTGATATTTATTGTACGAAAACGACAGAATGGAGTATGTCATTTAGTACAATACTCAATATAATTCGACACAGCTGTCAGTATAAAAACAAAGGTCGGCAAAGTAGGTACTTAGAAAGACATGTTTTACCGACGTCGATCAAGTTCCTCGACGTGTTTCACTCCACCTTAAGTCGGGGCATTAATGTGGCCACGTATACCGAAGAGTGCCAAGAACGCGAAGGGAGAGAGAGGGGCTGAATGAGTCCCAGCTCTCTCGGAGGGGCCCAGTCGGCTCTCAGCTATTCACCTGTCGGGACGTGAGAGACTCTCGGAGGGCCCAACAGGTTTTTGGGACCCCTCGGATATCGCGATCGGGCCCGCGGGATCGACTCCTCCAGGATCCGGCCTTAAGGACCCCCAGGACGTTCGGAAGGTTACTCTTAAGAATTTATAATTAGCGAGCTGAATTTAGTTTAGTATTCCGCGACACGAGAGGCTGACCACTTCGTGGACTCCTCGGGAAATGGAAGACGACACTCTGTTTTAACCCTTTGGCTACTAAGAGCGCCTAAAGGCGCCCAACGTTTGGTCGAATATTGCTTGCACGGTCGGAGGAATTTCGCCCGTATGTCGAAATGGCTCTGTCTTAAAAAGATTAGGATTTATTTACTGGTTTATTTGTTAGTTTATTTATTGCTCCGTTTATTGGCTGAGTTTTCGTAAAGTCTTCCTCTTCCTCGATTCATGAATTCCCCTTTGGCAAAGAGCGCCTAAAGGCGCCCGACGTTTGGTCGAATATTGCTTGCACGGTCAGAGGAATTTCGCCCGTATGTCGAAATGGCTCCGTCTTCAAAGGGTTAAGCATTTATTTACTGGTTTATTTGTTAGTTTATTGCCCCGCTTATTGGCTGAGTTTTCATAAAGCCTTCCTCTTCCTCTCCTCGTGATTTTTTTACTACCTTGGTTACTTAGCATTGTTTAAAATATTTGTATAATGTATTTATTGGAGGTGCCGTCATCCTTTCACTAGGACGTCCCATTCTTTCGGTCGATTATTTATTTACGGAATGTCGAAAGTCCAACCGATGGAACTCGGAATCCCGTTAGATCCCCGAGAGTGAGACCAGGAGAAACGCAATTGGGCCTTAAGGCCCGACCATTTCCGAGGAATTTAGACATTTTTAACCCCGTCTCTTCGTAGGCCATCTTTCTTATTTTTCGTTCAAAAGACTCTTTCATGACTTCGGGGCCTTTATGCCATGAAAATCCGAGCTCTTATATCTTCAAGGACTAGTCGCGAAATCTCACCTTCGAGAATTACGTCAGGTTATCTGTCTTCTCAGCGTCCTAGAAATCTCTGAGAAATGCAATTAAACGTTTACGATTTTGAAACCTTGCTAGAGGAAAAAAAAAGAAAAGAAAGTGTCGATAAAACGTAACAGAAAAATTCGACATTCGTGCTTGGAGGTGTATAGTATACTTCTCGTATTTAATTCCGTTATTATTCATTAGAATCATCCTGAAATTGATTTCTCTACTCGTTCAAACGTTACACCTGGTAATGACTAATTGCTACAGGAAAAAAAAGAAATGAAAGCGTCGATAAAACGTGACATAAAAATTCTACCTCCGTGCTTGGAGGTGTATATTATACTTCTTGTATTTAATTCCGATATTATTCACTAGAATTATCCTGATAATTTATTTTGCTAGTCGTCCAAACGTTACAGATTGTAATGACGGTCTTGAATAATTTCCTTGTTTGATTCAGGCCAGCGCCTTTTAAGTAGGGGCATTCCGGCTCTCCTTTTATAGCGATGGATCACTTGCACTTCTTAGAAGCACTTGTTCCTCTGTCTGCAAGCTTTTTTCTATACAGATTTCTCCTCCTTTCGGAGCTTAACGCTTTTCAGCCTGAACGTTTTTGGGCAAGTAGACTTCATTTCTTCTTTTATTTTCTACATTTTTCTCCCGATATCAGGCAATGAACAGACCTAAGAGATCGTAACGGCGACCTTGCACTCCGTTTCCTCACCTGATGCAGGTCATTGGCCTTTAAAAGCTTTTTTTATACAGATTTCTCCTTTCGGAGCTTAACGCTTTTCAGCCTGAACGTTTTTGGACAAGTAGACATTATTCCTTCTTTTATTTTCTACAATTTTGTTCCGATATCAATCAATGTCCAGACCCAAGAGATCGTAACGGCGACCTTGAACTCCGTTTCCTCACCTGATGCAGGCCATTGGCCTTTAAAAGCTTTTTTTTATACAGATTTCTTCTTTCGGAGCTTAACGCTTTTCAGCCTGAACGTTTTTGGACAAGTAGACTTTATTCCTTCTTTTATTTTCTACTATTTTCTCCCGATATCAAGCAATGTCCAGACCCAAGAGATCGTAACGGCGACCTTGAACTCCGTTTCCTCACCTGATGCAGGCCATTGGCCTTTAAGCGGTCACGTTTAAGGCTTTCCTTTAACGTACTCGGGAGGTACTTTTACTTGCACCTTGCCAGAAGTCACTTCATGAATGTTTTACAAATTAGGAGTCACTTAAGGTGAAGTGAAACCCCCCTCAAATCGGTCGGCTAGAATAACATACTATTTTTTAAGAGTATTTAACCAAAATATTCGAAACGTTGACACATGGCCCGTGATCACCAAAGAATTGTCCTGACACATTCGAAATCAGGATTTTGAAAAAAAAAAAACTTTTTAACAGCCCAGATCACAAGCAAAGTGGCGTCGAGCTCTCGTATTTCGGTCGATATCCAATTATTGAAGGCTCTGAGATACGAAAGGGTCAGGACAATTGTACGATAATTTACAACACTTTGGTAATCGATAAATTGGTATTTGAACGGGATAAAGACAAAAAAAGTGTCTTTATGCGCTTCTATACCAAAACGATGGTAATACAAGGTCTCGGGGTGAAAGTTTAGTTGACATGGAAATCACAGATGGTGCAGGGGGTCCCTCTGCAGACGATTAGGGCCTCGAAAAGCATGAATCCAGAGGATTTCTGGAGTTATATTTCGATTTCTTTATAATTATTGTACGAAAACAATAGATGGAGTATGCCATTTGGTACAATACTCAATATAATTCGACACAGCTGTCAATATAAAAACGAACGTCGGCAACGTAGGTATTTAGAAAAATCTTTTTTATCCACGTTGATGAAATTTCTCGACGCGTTTTACTTCACCTTAAACGCTACGTGGCGTGTTTTTTTGAATTCTATTAGTCAGAAGCGCGGGGTCCTTTCAGGCCTTTACGGTTGAAATGTCTTTCAATGGCGAAATATTTCTAAACGAACCTACGTCAGAAACGAATGTTCCGTATCCCAATCGCCGTGTATGAACAATAAGAAAAATACGTGCCCCGGCTTAAATTCCCATATTTGCGACACCCTACCTCTTAAGGTGAGGTGAAACACGTCGAGGAAGTTGATAGACGTCGATAAAAGAGGTTTTTCTAAATACCTACGTTGCCGACGTTCGTTTTTATATTGCCAGCTGTGTCGACAAGAATAAAATAACATTAAGTTCAATAATTGTACTATGAAATCACGCTCTGTTTTCGACTAAAAAATGCAGTTTAGTTATGAAAAAGAATTCCTGAATGTCACTTATGACAACTGCATATAACTCCTTAACGCCCTTGGTAATTAACGTTCTAATTTTTCAATGGCAGCCTTAAGAGGATATGAAAGGCGCTAAGATATTTAATCGATGTCGATAAAATAAAACTCATCTCTACCCTTTTTGAGGGGAATGCCGTTTTGAATACTCAAGTGACAACATAAGCTGACGCGTCCCATTACCGACATTTATATTTATATTGAAGTCTTTTACAGTCTACGTTGAGAATTATACGAACTGAAAGATTCCATGTGCCATTTCGATAAAATAATGATAAAAGGATCGATGTAAAACTGCCGAAATCTCACAAATTCGTGACTATTTATGTTCTGACGAACCAACGTCGCCATCTGTGACGTTCAGCTGCAACTAAATTTTTCCTCTGAAGACATGCGTTAGCCCCGGGACAGGGCAACGTTTTCTTGCAATCATTGGTGAACGTATTATCCACATTTTCCCATCTGACTCTATAATGTTCCATTTCTACTTTATTCTAAATTATTCGAGCTAGGTCCTGAAACTTTTCATTTTCGATTCTAAGCCTCCAAGAAGCGTAAAACATCGATAACGTGCACGGACTAACGTCATGTTGGTTCTAGTCCATAAGTAAATTAATTTTTGATGGAAAATGAAATATCATGAGTTTCAGGACCTACTTTAGGGCCTTCATATTCCCGTGGCAAAATTCGAAACGAATCGGTACACCCAATTCGGAGAATACTTTCCTCATCGATTTGACTTCTCAGATATATGTATAGGCTGACTCTTTCATACCCTTTTAAGATCCGTACGAGAATTATCCGCAAAAGGGGACAGGATGTCGGCCGACTGGAAGACGATTTTCGTAACCGGAGGCGCCGGATACATTGGCAGCCACTGCGTGGTCGAAGTTCTCGAAAGCGGATACGACGTTGTTTCCATTGATAATTTTGTAAATAGCGTGGACGACGACGCCGGGGAGTCGGCTGCCCTGAAGAGAGTCGAGGAAATCACCGGGAAGAAGGTGAAATTCTACAACTGCGACCTCCTGGATCGCGATAAGCTCGCCGAGGTGTTCAACAAGGTGGGGTTTTCCATCATTCGACGTCCTCGTATACTGGGAGACATCAATGCCCTCCCATCCTGCACAGGCGATGTCGTATCTGCAGGGGAGGCATTCATGTCCGCCATTGTACACTGGGAAACATCAATGCCCTCCCATCCTACACAGGGGATGCCGTATCTGCAGGGGAGGCATTCATGTCCGCCATTGTACACGTTCAATGTAATAATTAATTAAATGGCATATCTTTCTTCTACTCTTCAGCATAAAATCGACTGCGTGATACACTTCGCAGCGATCAAGGCTGTCGGCGAGTCCATGCAAATTCCGCTTCATTATTATCGCAATAACATAATCGGGACCATCAATTTACTCGAGGTGGGTACCCTGTTGAAAAAAGATTCATACACTTTTAGCACATAAGGTTGCAGTAAAATTATAAATGTCTTAACAGTGGATTAGTATACACTTAATATTAAGTTCTATGTAAATTTACGATTTTAATACCACCGTGTTGTAATTTTGTGGAACTGCGGAGAAAAATTATTAATTTGGTATTCGATAGTCATTTGGTACTCCTTATTTGCAAATCTTTCAAATGAGTTTTTAATTTTACGATTGTTTGCAAAAGTTTTTTTTTTTTTCAAGAAATTTAAGCGAAAGATGACAAGTATCGGTGGTACTGGCGGAGAAGCGACATTCTTGAGTCCGAGAAATATTTTGATATTTTAAAGAATTCTTACAATTAATAGAAAACGCCAGTAGCTTCATGGACAATGTACCTGCTACTTTTTCGTGAGTTCTGGATTCGATCACGCGATCATTGCAAAAAGATTTATTTCGGTATTTAAGGTAGGGCTGTCTCTAAAATCGTTCTCGAACGTGTCGGAAAATATGTCACATTTGTTTGTCTGCGGAAAAGACGTTTAACATCAAGTCCTGCAATGTATAACATATATTATAAATTTATTACACATATGTATTAAATTTATAACATATGTTACACATTTTATTTGAAAATATGTTATAAAATTAGTATACACCACGTATGAATAAAGCTTCGAAGAAAAATGTTATAAAATTATAATATTTTCGTTTTAAAAGCGTACATAACATTTCTCCAAACCTCCGTGGAAATTTTTCTTTCTTGATTCCAATGTTGATCCGTTCTCAGGTGATGAAGGCTGCCGGGTGCTTCCAATTGGTCTTCAGCAGTTCTTGCACCGTCTATGGGGAACCCACGTACCTTCCCATAACGGAGGACCATCCAACGGGGAACATCACGAACGTCTACGGCAGGACGAAGTACTTCATCGAAGAGATGATCAAGGACATCTCCAGGGCTGAGAAGGTGAGATCAACGTCTCACTGAACACCAAACCTAACAGTTACGTAACTTAAAACTAACAAATAACATAACATTTATTACAAGATAATAACTTAACAGTTACGTAACATATATTAATTTTATGACATTTGACGATGAATTATGACAATGACGATGACGATGATGTAATAAAATAGATGACAGTTAGCACCAATGTAGTTCTGTTTTGTTGCAAATATGCGCTGCATATACACTATGTAATACCAGGACAGTAACATAATGTAAGATAAGAGTAACAAAGTTACGCTACATTTATATAGATATGATAGTAACAAATGTTATGTACCCTGTTAGCTCCATGTTAGATACCCGTTAAGTTGCTGCATTGTAACCAATGTCATTTAACTAGTTAGCTCTATGTTACGTAACTGTTAGGTTATGACATTGTAACAAACGTTATGTTATTTGTTAGTTTTAAGTTACGTAACTGTTAGGTTTAGTGTTCAGTGGGGTACAGGTAGGATATTAGAGGGTGGATGTACATCCTTCGCAATTTCAGAACTGGAACATCATCTTGCTGAGATATTTCAACCCTGTAGGCGCTCATCCCAGTGGACTGATCGGAGAGGATCCCACGAAGCCGTTTACCAACCTGATGCCCTACATCGCGCAAGTCGCTCTTGGCCATAAACCGGAGCTGACGATTTTCGGCGGGGATTATCCTACCGAGGATGGCACAGGTATTTCTTTTTTCTTTCCCCTCCGTTTTGCAGGGTTCTCTTGTAACGATGCAGCTAAGAAAGTTTCGGGTCTTCCAGGGATTCGAGATTATATCCACGTGATGGACCTGGCAGCAGGACACGTGGCTGCTTTGTCGGCCTTGCACAAGCATCACTCCAGACTCAAGATCTACAATCTGGGAACTGGAAAAGGGGTTTCAGTTTTGGAATTAATTAAGACCTTTGAGAAAGTCACCGGGACGAGTGTACCTTGCGTTATCCTGGACCGAAGGGAGGGCGACATCGTCTCTATGTATGCCAACACGGATCTGGCCGAACGGGAACTCGGATGGAGGACCAAGTATAATGTTGAAGAGATGTGTAAGGATTGCCGTTTCATTTTCTCTATCTCTCCCTGATGATGTTTCCTTTCCTACGAAGAATCATTGTTTGCAGGCAAAGATTTCTGGAGGTGGCAGACGATGAATCCAAATGGGTACAGGGCACCGTTGAAAAATGGTAACGCTATAAAGTAACCAATCGATAAGGAGTACTGTTAGTATTCCGTCCAAAGTACAATTATTTCCTAGTAATTAAGAGACAGAACAAAGTATTAGCTCGATCATTTTTATTTAACAAGCTGGAGACCCGTCACTTTGATAATATGATCACTGTTCGGTGCATAAGATGCAAGTGCTGGAATAAAGTAATAAACGAGAGATTGGTAAATATTTATTTGTTCGAATGCTCTTGCCAAGTGGAGTATGAAAGTTTAAATGTTCAATTTTGTACATCCACTGATCTCTTGTCTTCGATGCCTTCATCGATCCTCTCTGACACAGTGTATAAGGGCAGGTGTTGGAATTTCAACGCTTCGAGACCCCAACTGGTCCATCCTGGGAGTAAATATCTTGCAAATATCTCTAAGCAGTTTGGCTCACTTGGAAGGTATGGCCCGATAAGTTCTGCAGGAATAATTCAGATTCATTACCAAGTTAAAATAAAATTGTTTAGATTGTACAATAAGTTCTTGTAAGGAATTAATCAATTTTTTCGGACCTGTGATGGGTGGTTTGTGTGAGTGAACTGCACTGGGTATACTAACTAATAACTTTCCATCGGGAATGTTCAGCAAAGAGTTAGCGGAAGCTGATCCGAGTACCAGCAACTCGTAGGGTTGTTTTCCTGGTATTGGATAAAAGTCACAGACTGTATTACCTCTCATTGTCACCTGAAATATTTTATCAATTAATTTTTAAAAAATCCAATGATTGTTTTCTCCTGAAATATTTTAAGTTTATTTAAATCAGGAAACTCACTTTGACCCAGTACCATTTTGCTCGATAAGTTACACCCCACGAAGGGAACATGTCATCCGATATGCTGCGCAAGTGGCTCGGAGCATTGGTACACCAGACCGCTACCAATCCTTTGGTGCTCAGTAACTTTCCAATGGGGATCTTGATCAATTCCTCGTTATACATCATTTTGTAACTGTTCGTTATAATTTACAAGTTACAAAGACCACCGAGCAAAGTCTTACCGTACACCGTGCTAAGTCTTAGAGAATGCAAAGCCTTTAGATGTTAACAAAACAAATAGAAAAAGAAACTGTAGTTACATAGCATACCATTAAACTGTTAAGCACAGGAAGATAACATTAACCATTCCCACGCGTAATCTTAACGGTACTCGTGCCCCTCTTTCGTGCATTAAACATTAAACTGCAAGATCACCTCGCCTCTAAATGTTTTCCTTTTTTCCTCCTGATGGATTTGTTCCACCAAGGCGGGTCTAGGAGAATAAAGTCAAATTGATTCTTCAGTTCCATCTTCTCGGTCATACTTCTGACATCGTAACAATAAAAGGAACACTTTCTAGGGAATACATATGTCTTTCCGTGCACATCCGTGATGATAGCTGTATCGGTATCGTTGCAGCCATGCAAATTCTGTGCAGGGTGTTGGAACGTATCTAAGTAGAATTTCCGTGATGCCATGCGTGCAGCCTGATTGTTATCACAGATAGTTCGGTCTAAGAACAGTCCGTTCTCCTTTGCGGAGGCTATTATCCTCGCTAATGCCTGCTTAATGTAATTCACCTGAAGCATACCGCATAATAATATTTCTTCAATGTCCTATGCCGAGACCATGAAAATTAAACATTAAAAATATAATTTGATCACCTGTGAGGATTCTGCCTGAGGATACGACTTAGACCTCTTGCGCTTCCTAGCTTGAGAGGCACTCGACTCCGCTTCATCCGCTTGTACATTCTGATTCTGTCTCAGATACTGGGAATTAATATTAAACAGCAGATCATTAAAGCTCAAGGTACACAATTTGGGCCCGCAACTGACAGATTCGTAGACGGCATTGATATACTCCAAGTGAGAGACGACCCAACCGTCAGGAGAGGTAAACGTCAAGCTCATATTTGAGGTTAGGGACCGATACCGGTACCCGAATGGTATCGCACATTTTTTAGGTTTTCCAATAAGAGATTCCTCTCGAAATGGTGTTAGCTAACATTTTCTAATTAATCCTCGGATTATGAGATAAATCTCGCAAGTATATCGCACAGAACGACATATAATCGATTGACTCAATTGACACTTCTGGCTCCAAATAGTATGGCTGGATAACGAAGGAACTCACTCTACCGCCGTACTTGGTAGAAAATTCGAGCGAAAAATCCACCACGGTGACAGGATTATAAAAAGACCGAGGAAGTAGGACATCGTCTGCCAGGTGTCGAGCCTCTCTAGTGGTGAAACCGTAGTTGATACTACAGACATCGATATTATCATCCTTGCCAGTAGAAATTCGAGCGAAAAATCCTCTCCGTGGACAGGAACATAGGAAGTTGTTGGAGATGGCACCAGGATTGGGTAAGTACAGAGATGAGTTGGGAGATTGCTCACGGGCAGAATCGCGCGATCACAACCTGTACTGCCCTCTGATTTCGTACGTTAGCTTTCACCGTTTTTTGCCCCCAAGGGCGGCGCAACGAATTTCTGGTAGGGGCTCGCGCAATCACGACGGCTGTGCCATCTACCAGTTGCCGTT